CCCCCCCCCCCCCCCCCCCCGGGGGAGGGCGGCGAGCCCCGGCGGGGGCTCCGCTCTCCCCCCAGCGGCCAGAGCGCAGGGGGCAGGGCGGCGAGAGGGCGGTGAGCCCCAGCCAGGGGGGAGGGCAGCGAGCCCGGCTGTGGCCCCGCTCTCCCCGGGGGCCGGAGCGCCGCGCCGCCCCCCTCCAGGTGCCGCCCCAAGCACAAGCTTGGTGGGCTGGTGCCTGGAGCCGGCCCTGATCTAACTATCCAAACTCCTCCCCAATACCAGTGGCTGATACCAGGTTGTACAATAATAAATGAGCAGTACTAATTAACTGGATGGAAAGGAGGGAGTGGGATGTTGTTTAATGGGCAGCCACACTAAAAACTAGAGTGTTTTGGGACTACTCTCAAACCAATATAGGGTTTGAATTTTACTGCTGTCACAAAAGAAGCAATATTTGCCATAGAAAAGGAATGTATGATAGACATAGGTACTGGGACAGCTCACTGTAGCATAACGATCTAGCCGAAAATATTTCTAATGGACCCAACACAACAATACACTGTAGCTACCCTTCATACGGGCAGCTTGGTGGCTGAATGTTCTAAGTACACACTTTCACTGGGATGCTGAACATACCTACCTGACCGGGCTGTGGGGAGGCTAAGCTAATGTTTGTACAGTGCTTTGAAAGAGTGCAAAGTATTATTTACAGGTGTGTCCTAACATTCCACTGATTTCAATGGACGACGCCAGTGCAACAAGTGCAATGGAGGACCCACAACGAAGAGGTTCAAAACCAGGGACTGAACCTATTTTAAGCTGGAGCCCTTTGAAATGTCTTTAGAATGGGGTGTCCAGAGCCCTCCCTGGGACACTGAATCAGCTTCACTGGCAGCAGAACTTCATCTGGGTCTGAAGGGAGGGTTGCTTCACCCCTAATGGATTTCCTAAGTCCTGGGGCAGCTGTTTGGTAGGAGAACTGCAAGATCAGGCCTCGAGGTTTGAATTTCTGAGTGGGGAGGAAAGGAGAGGGACTTTCACTGACCTCTATTTGGTTTGGTTGCGACGTGTTTATATCCCATATTGTTGGCACATGGTTCAGGCTGTCGGCGGGCAGGAAGTCCTGAGCATCGGCAATGTCGGAGAGGGAGTCCGCGGGGGATGAGAAGAGGGAGTTGTTGGAGAGCTCATCGAGGTATGAAGAATCCTGAAATGGAAAGAAAAGCCCTGGGTTACAGGAGACGGTAAGAAGGTGCTTCCAAGGTTCTGTCTTGCACTCATGTTTGATTTCAGAGTATTAAATGGACAGCGTTGTTACATCCATGCTCCATGGTGCTTCGAAACGAACTGGTAAACCAGGACAGCTATCCAGAGAAGCGGGGTTTAAATCTATAATCCCAGTTTCTTAACACAGTAGGAAAAACTGCTGGTGCAACATACAGGAACACAAGTTAGACTCTTTGGAAACACTTTTAGATTGTGACTCTCCAAGTGCAGATCAGCATGAGAGAGGCTCAAAGGACAGGACAGCACCAGTCACTCTGATCTTCGTATTTAATGAAAAACAACTGAGCACTAGTGAAAGGTGCCAAATCTAAAGTCCTCTATGTAGCCACAAAATAGGTACAGCGTGCACAGCAACAGCACTAACTATTCTCCCATCCCAACATGACACCACCTATCAATTATCATTATTTGTAATACAATAGCACCTAGAGGCCCCAGCCAAGATCAGAACCCCCATCGTACCACGTGCTGCACCAGAATTTAGCAAGAGACAGTCCTGCCACAAAAAGCTTACAGTCTAAGCAGACAAATCAGTAAAAGGGAGGATTATCATCCCCATTTTACAGCTGGGGAACAGAGGCCCAGAATGACGAAGTGACTTGCCCAAGGTCACGCAAGGAGTCTGTGGCAGAACTGAGAATAGAACTCAGGTCTCCTAAGTCCCAGTCCAGGGCCTTGCCCCCAAGGCCTCCCCTTCCTCAAGCTGGACAAGAAGGGAGCACCTTTCAGTTAAGGGGTCACTCTCCATCCTTAATCATTCCTTGGTGTGTCTGCTGAGACTGCCCATGATAGCTCTACCAAGAACTGGAATGAGCCCCACCACGTGCCATTTACAATCCTCTCCACTTCTCCATCCAGCTCCTTATTTGGTTGTCTGATCTCCAAATAGGCATGAGAACCAAAAGCCAAGAATGCAGGTCTAAACAGAGAGCCTATTAGAAAACTTGCACAGAACTCTACCCCCCTACACAATGCCTGACCCTAGCCATTGACTTCACTCACTCACTCTCGCCATTAAATCTCTCTGTAAAACATGGAGGCGAAGGTTAGCCTTCTGTTCACCTTACCGCAATTTCTCTTAAAGTGCCGGGCTATGCCGTCCAGTTCTCAGGTGGAGAAGTGTCAGTGTTCCACGGGACTGCGGGATGGACCAAGGGGCCCTTCCGCCTCTACCATGAGGAGTCTGCCAATATAAACAGCTTGCTATTTCTTGTGAGAGGAGGGACATTTGTAGACATGATGACAATTTAGGCCCTTTGCTGCTGCTAGGACAGATAACCAAATGTTTGCGGTGGCACCCCAGTATGGCTGCCAACGGGTCTCTGATATGAGGAGTCATTGCACTCCATTTCCAGTTAAAGGCCTGTTTTCTACTGATCTAGCTGCAGAACAGGAAGGCAGCCAAAGGGTTTTAAAGTCCTAGCCCTGACGCAGAATCGTGAACAGTTGAATTCCCTTGGGTTATTCCTGAGGGTTTCTGGCCAAGAGCTAGGGAAAACTCTCTCCTGATTGCTATTTTGCAGTATTTCAAACCAGCAGGACTTTTCCTTTCATTCCCTTCCGAGATAATGTCTGATCTGGCTCCCTGTAGCAGCACTGGAGGTGTAGGTGCGATAGCCAGCAGCTGACATGTTGATCCCAGTACCCAAAGTAAGAGAGGCTGTGGGAATGGTGAGGAAACTGCGGATTACTGAAGCATTGATGGGGTACAGGCATGGGAGTAGCGATTACACTCCACTTTTAGACGGGTACTCCCAGTCTGACTGGGTCAATTCTTGTTCATGGACAGCTCTTACCAGTCTTCCTCCCCAACGAGGGACGCTCAGGCGCCCGTTTAGGGTTCTAGCTCTTAACAGTTCCGTGGCTGCGTTTTGGGTCAGCCAGCACCAGGCGTTTTCAAAAGCTGAATTCAACATTTGGGTTTGTCACGTTGGAAATAAACAGTCTCCAGAAACAAGAGTCACACTCCGGGGTAACAACAAGGAAAGTATCTGGGTAAGTACCACCGTTGATATCCTCCTCCTAGACCAGACGCAGGGTCACCTTGTCCCATCAGAGAGACTCCATACCACAGGAATTGGCCTCCAGCTGTGCCCTGACGTACAGACGTATTCTGGGCCCGCCAGCTCTGCTCCTAACGGAATGGGAGCTAGCTGAACAATACAAGGCGCTGACACCCCGGTCCAACCACACAAAGCTAAAGGAGCATGAGGCCAGGTTCAAGGACTACTCCCAGTCTCTCCCACAACAGCAAAAAGCCCTTCCTGTAATATAGTATGGGGCTTAACTAAAGAATTGCAGGACAGTTAATGCTGTATTGAAGCTAGAGTTATTCATACAATTAAGGTATTTTTAAGTTAGCCTCCCGTCTCTCAAGATCTGTCACCTTCAAATATCCCACCTAATTCCAATCCCCCGCAATGACACCTGCTGAGCACCTCAACCTTCCATGCTGCCGAAATGTGTCAAGTCACCTCACTGCTTTTCCTCTTTCCCAACTCTCACTTCCAAGAACAAATCCCACGGGAGTGTAATGGTCCCTGCTGCTTGGGACCACCATCAAAATCTAGCCTCCTGTACTAGATCTGCAACCCTGGAAAAAGCAAAGATATGGGCCATGTAGAATTTATGGAAGTGAAACCCCCCAGTGCAACAATTGTTCTGTCCATTCAGAGGCACAAAAACAAGTGTGTGAGAATTCTTCTCTATATAATCAGTTCCAGCAGTTCCAAGTATTTAACACATCAGGGCCTATGCAATGAATGAAGAAGTGAGGGTTGGATAGAACCTCTAAGAAGTAGCTCTCAGTGCCATGAGTGCACATGATGCTGCCCAAAAAGGAAACCTGCACCAATTTCGGGTGGCTCAATGATTTTGCAGAAGTTACTCTCAGAACACCAGCTAAATGGGCAGCAGTTGTGCTTCCCTATATGTCTACACAGCACTTAGCACATACAAGTAAGTGAGGGGAGAGATTTTTCTCCTAGAACTTCCCAGTCCAGAAATCCATAGCTACAGCGGTGGCGTCTGCCTTTGCTCTGTCCACGTGGAGTAGGATAACCATGGCTAAAATGGCCAGTCCTGAGACACGGCTGTGCTATTTTCAGTAATTCTTTAAAAGATCCTGAATGCAAACACAGACGAGCCCAACCCAGGACGGGTCATTTCAGTGAATCACTTGGTATGTGTCTGGAAGGGAGAAAAGCAGACACCTGCTCCTGGTAATCTTTTATAGCGCAGGGGCTGTTTGCAAGTCACTGAGCCACACAGCACGGTGTGAATCTGTAGCACGGCAGTTTGCCTCGCAGTAACATCCTGCGTGGACACTACTCTAGCGCAGTGAAAGTCCCAGAGTGCAGTTTAGCATATTGCTTCAAAGTGCAGTTTGCTAAGCTGTGCGCCGGGATTTTCACTGAGGTGTTCACACATATTCATACCCTGGCTTGCCTCGCCTTAATCTGTTGTGTAGATGAGCCCTCAGCTAAGGCAAGGAGGTGCAACGAAGTTCATGTTCACATTACACAATGTGAGAACAAGATCAACATTGCAACCCTGGTTTGGAATCTGGGAGATGGACAGGGATTTGCTGAACGCCGCAGAGCTAAATGATAAGCATCTGTGTTTGTGTTCTCAGAAGGAGAGTTGGCATGGGGCTGACCTCACCTCAGACGAGAAAGGGCAAAAAGGACAGGAGCTGTGGGGCACTGGATGTAAGAACTATTTTGTTTACACAGTGGTTCTCCAATATTTTTTACATTGCCCCTCTCACAGATAGATCCACCTCAGTGCTTAATTCAACCCGAGGACCCCGCTCGGTTCCCAACCTACAGCGTGGGAACAACTGCAACGTGGTCTCCAGGCATGAGCACGGGGCTATAAGTCCGTAGGTCTTGGCTGTGCCGCTTACTCATTGTTTAGCCTTGGACAAGTCACTTCAACTTTGTCTCCACTTCCTCATCTGTAAAATACGGATCCTGCTCCGTATCTCCCACCTCCCATAGGTGGTGTGAGAATTAGTTAATATCCATGCAGTGCTTTGAGCACAGGGATGGCTCTATGTTTTTTGCCGCCCCAAGCACGGCAGGCAGGCAGCTTTCGGCGGTGTGCCGTCACGTGGATTCGGTGGCATGCCTGTGGGAGGTCCGCCAGTGCCGTGCCATTGGCGTCCCCGCTGCCGAATTGCCGCCGAAGCCGCGGGACCGGCGGACCTCCCGCAGGCATGCCGCTGAAAGCCGCCTGCCTGCCACCCTCAGAGCGACCGGCAGGCTGCCCCCCATGGCTTGCCGCCCCAGGCATGCGCTTGCTGCGCTGGTGCCTGGAGCCACCCCTGTTTGAGCATAAACATTAGGTTAACATAGGTAACAAAAACATCAGTGTAATTTACAGGTCTCGTGCAGCACCCTGCACGCTGCATCAACCCCCTTGTGCCAGCTCCCAAGCCACTACTGCCTGCATTCCAGGGCCCCAGGAAAACTCACTTCTTCCACAACACTCCCAAGAGCCAAGCTAAACGATAATAAAACTCCTCTTCTTCTAGGCTTCCCAGCACTGTCCCTCTTCCCTGAGCCTCTCACACTGTAGCTCTGGGGGCAGGGAGTATTTTTATTTGTGTCCGAGATAGTGCTGAGCACAGGGTAAACACTTCAGAGGTGCACTCATTCCCTTTGGATCAGGCCCATACTGAACAGGAACACAGCACTGCTTGTTTCTTGCTCAGACTCTGAACTGTGGCTCCTGCCCCGTAGCAACCTACTGACCAAGAATAACTTAGCAGAGAAGTTAGCAATGGAGACAGAGTCTGCCCCCTTCCCTAGTTCCAGCCAGTGCAGGACTGTTCCCTGTCCCTAAACAACACTCTCCAAGGGCTAATCTAACAGTCTAGTTTTAAATGCCACATGATGAGGCTTAGTATGTTAGATG